CGGCCTCATACAGAAGATGGCATTTGAACTAGGAATCCTACAAAATGGAGGGATCATTATAGCTTATTTTATAATAAAAAACAGTATCTCGTTTATAGGGAGATGCTTTCACATCCATTTTCACCTTTGATTGCTATAACAAACTCATGGTTTCTGCCAGAACTTTTATTCCCAACATACAGATTGTGAAATCAAGTAACTTCTCTATGGTTACACAACTAGTAAGTGTCAGAGTCTTAGTCTAACTGAGGTATGAAAACTTCTGTGTGTACTTGAGATAGACTGAAGACAAAGGCCATGGAATCTGGGAAGGTTATAGAAGTAGGAGGCCAGGGTTTTCCAAGTGGAAGAGGCAGCTACGGAAAAGACTGTAAACTAGGTATAGTACATTAGTTATGGAGGAGGACGAAGAGTGTCAAGAGAGAAGAACAATAAGGATATGGATAAGATAGAGTAACTATGGCACCTAGATGGTGCAGTGGATAGAGTGCTAGAACTGCAATTAAGGAGACCTGAATCCAAATTTTACCTCAGACATTTACTAGCAGTGTGATCTTGGGCAAGCCACTTAATCTCTGCCTGCCACAGTTTCCTCCTTCTCTGTTAAATGGGGATAATAATAGCACCAACCTCACAGGTTATTGAGAGGATCAACTGAGATTATATATGTATAAAGTGCTTTGCAAATCTTAAAGTGCTATATAAATGCTAGCTCTTATTAAAGGGGGAGAGTAAGCTTGACCATTTATGGTGGCAGAGTGAACGTTTGAAAGTGGCACTGGAGCGCATGCAATCCAATTCTCCATCCAAATTTTTGCATCAAGAAGCATGAAAGAAAGAGCAGCTGGCCATGTAGAGAAAGCCAAAAGATGTATTGTTTTCAGGGGGAAGCTAGGTTTCAATGAGTAACAGAAGATAGAAGTGACATAAGAAGTAGAAATCTAGGATGAAATGGAGTTCTACAAAATGACCATTCTAGACTGCACAATGGAAAGAGAGGGAAGAGGAGGTTAGGGATAGGGGTGGGCTATGACTGAGTTTACTATGGGGGAAGGGTGGTGACCAATGTGTATTCCTTTCTTCTGATTTCCATAACTCCTCCCGTACCTGCCCTGCTAATTCCATGCTGTTTCCTTAACTCTCACGTGGCAAAAGTCCCCAGACCAGACCACATGTCTGCAGTAGTCTGCTCCAACTGGAAGGTGGACCTGAGAAAGGACCGTGGTGACCAAGGGACCATGGGGACCTTTAGGCTGACAGAAAGCACTAGCTTTCCTTCTCCAATGTCAGTACTTGTGACAAAGCCCACGCTGCTCTGTGCTAGTTCCAGTTCTTGGCCCTAATGTCACTAAAAATTACACAACGCTTCCATTTTCCAAGGGCTTTATTTTTTTTAAACTGTGTCAAGCACACAGTTTTTTGGTTGTTTTTCTTTTTTTGGAGAACCAGTGGTTAAACATTTATTAGTACACTTTTATGGATAGTGTTCTTAAAGTAAACATCTATTATCCAATAGCTCCAAGGGCTTTATTGAGAGTAGAGTAGTATGTGTATATATGTGTACATTGTGTGTGTGTGTGTGTGTATATGTGTTACACTTCAATTAGAATTAGAGTGTAGTAATAATTACTTTTCAACTGGGTGTGCGGGACATCATCCCTAAAGCATCAGAAAGTTTCAAAATCTTCCATACTTCCCCTTGTATACTTTAAATTGCTTCAGGGATTAGAACTTTGCATTAAAACAACAAGGGGTTTTTAATTGCCTTGTGAATCCAATAGCTAATTCTTTGGAGAATGGATCTGGCACTTGGAATATGAGAAACTCTCAGAGAACTGGCCTTGAGTTTTATTTTTATTGCGGACTGCCTCTATTTTAACCATTAGGGATCAGTATTGTTGATATGCCTGATATTCATATCATGCTATATTAATATTTCCTTATCTCATTGACT